TTTCAGCAATCCAATCTGACGGAAGTAGAGTTGCATTTTCCAGGCCCAATCATCATAGCCCTCACCATTGAACTTCTCGACGGTGAAGTTCTTCAGCACCTCCTTGATCAGCGAGCCCTGGTTTGTTTGCGCTCCCCTTGGCGCTGAAACACCAGAATCTTGGCTGCTGCTACGATCTTGGGCTGAAGATTCACCAGCTCCTGCCGAGGTGTTGCCCGCCATAACTACCACGCTATAACGCAGGCTCTGATACCAGCTTGTTGGTGTAAGGGCCTAATAAACTCAAGCTATTAGGACTTAATCAAACTTAAAACCTCTCCTCGGGGTCACCTCCAAGGGTCCCTGGGTGCCTGGTACAAGACCAGCCCCTATCCTCGGGTCCGAGTTTGTAGAGAGAGGGATCAAGAGAGACTTAGTCAAAACAGCAAGAGTACCTTGAACGTAGCGCAGCGTGCCGTGCAGACCGTCGATCGGATTAAGCTGAGAATTCGCTATATCGAAGCTCTCTCCAAGAGCTTTAAAATAAGCCAAGTTGCCTCGCGAAAAGTTCTGCCATTACGAAGTTATGGCTCGGACAGCGTTTGCCTAGCGTTGGAGTGCTAGCGTACTAGCGTTGACTCGGGTAGCATTCCGCCATCGAACCGCGTAGAAACGAAATTCCAGCGAGGAAGGAATTCGCATGAATCAATTGACTATGTTCAGGTACAAACAGAGAAGGAATAAATAGTTATAGCTAGCAAGGACCTTGGGAATCAACCTGGGAACAACCAGGGATGATCTCAAATAATTCCAAGCAACAGAACCAACCTGGCTGGACAAAACAGCAGGTGGTAGGTTGGAAAACAACCTCTGGTTCTGTTTTTCCAACCTGGGAAAACAACAACCAGGTTCAGGTTCTAAAAACAGAACCTGTTTTGTCTTTGCCCAACCAGCCAAATGCTGGTTCTGCTGGTTTCCCCTGGCCTTGTAGCATGCAGATACAGACAAACAACATCCAACCTTCACCTAAATTGTACCCCTATAGTGCCTGCCCTGCTACACTATAGTCAACCAAACATAACAGTACAATTTCGAGTTGGATACAACTGAATCTGCGCAATCAACTCAACCGAACTGCAAAGCTTCCATCTTGGGTTCCTTTGCGAGCTCGTCCTTTCTGCTTGCACTGTTCATAGCGCATACAATGTTGTGCCGAAGCACACATTGCGCGAGTACCTGCAAATGCTTCAAGCGAAAATAGCGAAAACAAACAAACACACGAACACACCATTCGCACGCAAATGCACTCGCACACGCATACTCGTACAAACAGACGGCAGGATGTCGTGCAATGCGAATTTGCACCCAACATTAACCTTGCGTACCCCCTTGGCATTTTGGCACGCTACGTGGCTCTTGGTAGGACATCGAAAGGTGCACTGGGATGCTGCGAAGAGGGTACTGCGCTACTTGTGCAGTACATTGGGCATGGGGCTCGTGCTTGGAGGACGGAGTTCAGTTGTCCTCACTGGACACTCAGACGCTTCTTGGGTTGACGACCTGGCTACACAGCGGTCGTCAGATGGTTACACGTTCAGCCTTGGCTCCGGCTCTGTTTCTTTGCGGTCTGCCCACTCGCCTTCTGTTCTCAGCTCCAGTTGGTGAGGCTGCACAGGAGTTACGCGGGCTCACCTACCCGTTGACGGACTTGGGAGAGCGGCCTCGTTCTCCTCCAGTTCTGTACGTAGACAACAAGGCCGCTATTGCCTTGTGTCAGGAGCACAGACTGGAGCACAGGACGAAGCACATCGCTCTGCGTTACTTCCTTGCTCGAGAGCTGCAGCAGCGTGGTCAGCTTCGTCTTGCTTACGTGGCCACTCGGGCCAACACTGCTGATATATTCACCAAGGCACATCCGTCTGGTGATCATCGGTGCTTTTGTACTTTCTTAGGCCTTGTGCCCGCTTTGCCTTACTTGGTCACTGATTGACTTTGCTTGTACTGTGATCTATATATATGCCTGCATGCTTACTCTTGCTAGGTAGTGACCACTGTACTGTTTGCTATCTTTTATATAACTCTGCATGTGGACTGGCCTTGTGGCCATTTGCTTGTGCTCAGAGTGTGTGGTGACTTTGTGATCCACCTTGAGCTTGCTTTTGCTTTCTTCTTCTCTTGTTTGCTCTGGCTATCCCCCACTTTGCCTATGGGGGTGTGTCAAATATGTATTACGTTATCTAGGCTATATAGGGGGCTAGCCTTAGGGGGTACAGCTACCTCGACATTCTTGTTTGTACCCCCATCCTAAACCAATCACTCACTTTCGCGTAACTCTCTCGACAAATAGACAACCAATGTCTACTATTCAGCACTGTCTACTATCCGGGTGATGACGGTAACATGCTATATTACGCTTGTTTTTTTTTTTAATTTATTTATTTAGCAAACGTGTTCCGAAGTTCTCGGGTCATCTGGTCTGGCCTAGAAGCTCGCCCGAACCACTACCGAGTTGCCACCGCAACTTTCGCCATACGTCCGAATCTCACTACCCCGATCTTTCAATATTCAGTGTATTTCAGCTCATTTGCGAATCACGAACTGAAGTCGATTACGTATGTCGAGGCCACCTTTTGACAATTGATGGGCTGCTGGCGAGTTTGGAGTGTGAGATAAGCTAGCGAGGACGTGCGGAGTCCCCATAGTAGCTATCGTGACAAGCAGTGAATTTTGACAGTGAAAAAGCGACCGCAGACGACAAGGGCTCATAGACGACGATAATGCGACTGTAGACAATGAGAGTGCATAACGATGAAAATTCGACAGTAGACGACGAGCGTGCATAGATGATGAAAGTGCGATAGATCCAATTTGGGATGGAGGAAATCCGCGACAGCAGTGGCGGGTGCGGCAAGCACGGGCATGCAGGCGGGACTCCCGGCGGCGGCAGCAGCCGATACAGCAACGGCGACGGCCTCTACGACGGTGGCGGCGGCGGCGACGACGGTAGCCGTGACAGAGGCAGAAGTGTCGCTGCGATCAGCACAGGCCGGAGCGGCGGCGGCGGCGTGAAACGGCGGTAGAAGACTCCATCGTTTTGTGCTCTCCAGATCTTCTCTTACTCACGTTATGCCTCGTCCCATATGAGTGTTTTCTCGTTGTAAGTGCATTCATTACTGACTTCCTCTTTGCACCCGACCTTACCCCTCACCCCACCCAGGTGTTGTCTACTTTCGTAATTCTACAGTGAAGGAGGTGGTTGTTTGCCAGGATTAGTAATGTAAGAAGGGCTGTTGAAGGAGAGTCCAGTGGATGCTATGGCTGCTGAGAGGACGATGGGGCCACTGATTGAAGTGGTCAAAGAGGCGGTGCTGGCAGCAGTGAGAGAGGAGCTTCCTCTGCGTTACTTTCTTGCTCGAGAGTTGCAGCAGCGTGGTCAGCTTCGTGTTGCTTACGTGGCCATCCGGGCCAACACTGCTGATATATTCACCAAGGCACTTCCGTCTGGTGATCATCAGCGCTTCTGTACTATGTTAGGCCTTGTGCCTGTTTCGTCTCACTTGCTCACTTCGTGACTTTGCTTGTACTGTGATATATATATATTTATAATATATATATTTAAATATATATAGTTGCTCTTGCTAGGTAGAAATGACTGAACTGTTGCTGTTGCATATATACCTCTGCATGTGAACTGGCCTTGTGGCCCTTTGCTTATGCTCGAAGTGCGTGGTGACGCTGTAATCCACCCTGAGCTTGATTGGTCTTGTGACCCCTTGTTCTCCCCCACTTTGCCTATGAGTGTGTTAAACTGTATCTATGATATAATAATGCGTAGGCTGTAGTGGGGTATTTAATATGGGGTACAACCCCTTTAGGGTTTTCTACTTGTACCTGTTGCGATCAAAAGATGATCGCTGCCAGGATCTACTCGGGAAGGTTCGCACGCAGGTAGATAGTGTTGGTGGGCCCTTGACCTTAATAGTAGAGTGAATGTAAAATGCTTGAGATGAAATAAAACATGCAAAAACAGCGATATAAATAAGAGTACAAGGGAATTCGAATCGACCTATCTAGCCATATACAATAAGGGGTACATTCCCTTATTTATTCATTCTCAACCTAGTGGCGCGTACAGTTACGAAAACTGTTCCCGCCAAAACCCTCTTGCCTGCAGCTGCCCGATGCCGTCTGCTCCGACGGTCCAGATGCGCCCCAACCGTCTGACGCTTCGAGTCAACTCTGACTCTTCGCATTCGTTCTCGATACTGCATGCTTCCTTAGCTGCGGTCGGGAGTGCACTTTTCATTCATTACTATTCGTAACACCCCCCTTCACTCCTGGCCGTAGCTCGACTTGACCTGCTTGACCACTCCATTGAGTTCGGAGCAGTGCTGATACTGCTGGCGTGGCAGTCGCTTCCTAAGGAAGTCTGCTGCCATGTCACCGGTCGGGCAATAGGTCAAGTCAACCTTGCCCTTGTCCACTTCGTCCTTCACGAAGAAATACCGCAGCGCAATGTGCTTGGTGCGGTTGACGAAACCAGGTTTGTTCGCGATGCGAATCGCGCTCTGGTTGTCGCAGTGAAGGCGAAAGGTGGGCGAAGCTGGAATTTTCGCCTCCTGCAGAAGTTCCTGCAAGTAGAGGCCTTCGCAAACTACTGCCGTTGCTGCGATGAATTCCGCTTCGGCTGACGACAGGGCAACCAGCTCCTGTTTCTGCGAGTTCCCCGAGATTGGTCCCGTCGGTTCGAGTCGGAACAGGAAGCCAGTCCTGGACCGTCGATTGTCGGGGTCTGCTGCGTGATCGGCGTCCACGTAGCCTACGAGGTTGAAGGATGGGGTCGGCACTGTTGAGTAGCACAGCCCAATCTTGGGCGTTGAAACGAAGAACTGTAGGGTGCGTTGCAGGTCCAGAAGATTCTCAGTCGTTGGTTTGCGTGAATACTGGGCTAGCTGACTTGCCATGTAGGAGAGGTCGGGCCTGCATGTGACAGAGGCGAAGAGCAGGCATTCCAGCTGTTGCTAGTAAATCAGAACTCCAGCAGGGGATAGGGCTTTGTTGTCAGGTTTGTGGTTCGGTCTAGGAGTTCGGTAGAGAGTAGAGAGCGGTGCAGGTGAAATGTTGAACCGCTTCCCTAGCTCCTCTGCGTACTTAGCCGCTGAGAGGTGAATGGCCTCAGGCGCGTAGGAGATGTTGAGGCCTAAGAACTGCTTCACCTCGTAGTTGCACGTGATGTCGACGCGCCCCACCACGCTCTTTTCGAACTGCTCGAGTAATTCGTTGCTTGATCCTGTGTAAAACAGGTCGTCAACGTAGACAGTGAGTAGGATGTATTTGCCGCGGAAATCACGGCGGTACATCCCAGGATCGTGCGGCATCTGCTTGAACCCGATTTCAAGCAGGATGTTGTGCAGATACTGCTGCCAAAGCCTTGGTGCCTATTTTATCCCGTAGAGGGATTTGCGCAGTTGACATACGTGCGAATCCTCTCCGCCGTACGTGTGCGGCTGCTCCACGTAGATGACTGCATCTACTAACGCGTACATGAACGCGTTCTTTACGTCAATGCGGCGGAGAGGCAAATGTCGAGTAGCTGCTATGGCGAGCAGGATTCGGACGGAGGTGTGGCGGCTGACCGGCGCAAATGTCTAATCGAAATCTATCCCGTGCTTCTGGTCGTATCCACGCACCACCCAGCACGCCTATTTCAAGCGCTCGATCGTTCCGTCTGCTGCGGTCTTCACGCGGAAGACCCACTTGGCCGAAAGAACTCTTGCGCCTTTGATTGCTGCGCGGTCGACTAACACCCAGGTGTCTCGGGATCCGAGCGCCTTGATCTCCGCGTCCATTGCCTCGTGCCATTCTTTGCTGTGTGGTCCACTGAGAGCTTGGCGCAAGTTTCGTGGCTCGATGACACGTGGCGCTTTCGAGGTTGCGGTGTGGAGCCCGAGCAGCTGCAGCCCTGAGACAGTGCTATCATGGCGACGTTGCGGGATGACTTCCTGCACATCGTCGTCATCGCTCTCTGGTTCAGGTGGTGCTGGTTGTGCTGCGCCTTTGTCGCTTCCGCCTGCTCCACCCATTCCTCCTCCAGAGGAATCGTTATGGTCGTCGCTCCTATGGAAATCTCCCCATGTGAACTCGCCCCTAGTGTCCTGCTCCAGGATTGATGCAGCGGCTTTGTCGGGCGTTGTATAGCTGTGGCCATCGTTCGCGTAAATGCGATTCGCGTTCGCATTTGTCTGCTCGTCGTGGCGGAACTGCTCGAGGAAGAGGCATTCGTAGAAAATCACATCGCAAGCGGGCGGTCTTTTAACTGAGTAGGTCCAGCATGATCCACCATTTGTACTCGTGACTGATGACGAGGTAAATGCCCCAACGCGCCCGGCTGGCGAATTTGCCGATGGTTGACGTCGGCGGGCGGTACTACACCATACACCCCCACACGCGGAGCATGGATGTGTCCCCTTTAGTCCCGGTCCACTTTACGTGCGGGGACAAGTTGCCGGTGATGGCGGTGGTTGACAGCAGGTTGTGCACCCGCATGGCGTGGTGCATCGAGTAGGTCCAGTAGATCGGCGGTAGCTTCGACTGCTTCATCAGCGCCCGCACCTTCGTCATGAGCGTGCGGTTCGTCCGCTCAGCTACGCCCTGCTGCTGGTGTGCGTAGGGGAGAGAGATGTGATGCTCAATCCCCTTTTGCGCCAGGTAATCCTGTGTCTGCTTGCTCGGGAATTCTGCCGCGCCGTCAGATTGCCAGATTTTCAGCTTCTCCCCGGATTGTCGTTGCGCGTGCGCCAGCCAGAGGCGGAATACCTGATTGGCTCTGTCGCGGGACTCCACGTTTGCGACCCACACGTAACGTGTTCCGGCGTCGATGTCGGTAAGCGTGTACAGTTCGTCGTCAACTCCGCAGTGTCCCACATTCAGGAAGTCGCTGTACACCTTGTGCAGCTTGGGGTAGCGGTTCGTCCCTGGCTCGAGCAGCGGGAACGGCTGGTGGCTTAGCGCGGCTTCGGGGCAGACGGTGCAGTTGCGCGGATGTGTCGCGCCTCTCACTTCGGTGCCATCTGGGCGCAGGAGCGCTCTTGGAGTGAAGACGCCTGCGTCGATGCAGTTTTTTAGCGTTGCGCGTGAAGGATGTCCGAGGCGCTGGTGCCAGAGCACATCGTCGGCGCGAAAGCCAGAAGTGCGTACGTAGCGCGCGCGGGTCTCTTCGGGGACTTCATCAGGTACGGGGGCAGGTGCTGCTCCTGCTTCTTCTGCTGCTTCGTCCTCGTCGGTGCCGGTGGTAAGCATGAGTGCCAAGAACTCTCTGTCGCGGATTTCAAAGAGGGGGATGTTGGTCCCGGGGATAGTTCGGGAACAAAGGTGGGTTCGCGCGGTTCGGGAGCAGGTCCGTAGACGGTGCGGCGCGGAGTTGATGGTTCGTTGCCGCAGTTGATGGTGTCCCTGGGGTCGCGATGTGGCGGGTTGTCAGGTTGGGGTAACGCGGATGGAGCACAACGCGGGGGACGACCGAGGGGAACAACTGCAGGTGTTGCCTCGGTTTCTTCTGCTTCTTCTTCTCCCCCCCTTTGTTCTTCGCGGGAAGCCCCCCGTCTGCTGCCGTTGTCGCCAGGTGCGACGCCCCATCCGCCGCTTGCGGTTGCCCAGGATCCGCCGGTGTTGCCCCATCCGCCGGTATCGCTCGTTCCCCATCCGCCGACGCTTCCCCACCCCCCTTCATTGGAAGCGCTCTCTTCTTCTTCGGCTCCCCATGCCCCGCAGGCGAAGGTTCCGCGTGCTTCGGCAAGACTCTGGCATCGAAGCTCCTCTGCTTCGCGGCGCGCCAGTGCTCCTTACCGCTCGACGGTGAGCTTCTTCGTCGAGTCGCGCTAGTGAGAGTAGATTTTCACGAATTTTTCGTGTGTGTAGGGCCGCGGTACGTTGTGCGCATCGAAGGTGCCGATGCCCGCACCGCGCAGCATGCCTTGAAGGTGTTGGGTGCAAATGCACATTGCACGACATCCTGCCGTCTGTTTGTACGAGTATGCGTGTGCGAATGCATTTGCGTGTGAATGGTGTGTTCGTGTGTTTGTTTGCTTTCGCATTTTTCGCTTGATCCATTTGCAGGTACTCGCGCAATGTGCGCTTTGGCACAACATTGTATGCGCTATGAACAGTGCAAGCAGAAAGGATGAGCTCGCAAAGGAACCCAAGATGGAAGCTTTGCAGTTCGGTTGAGTTGATTGCGCAGATTCAGTTCTATCCAACTCGGAATTGTACTGTTTTGTTTGGTTAACTATAGTGTAGCAGGGAAGGCACTATAGGGGTACAATTTAGGTGAAGGTTGGATGTTGTTTGTCTGTATCTGCATGCTACAAGGCCAGGGGAAACCAGCGGAACCAGCATTTGGCTGGTTGGGCAAAGACAAAACAGGTTCTGTTTTTAGAACCTGAACCTGGTTGTTGTTTTCCCAGGTTGGAAAAACAGAACCAGAGGTTGTTTACCAACCTACCACCTGCTATTTTGTCCAGCCAGGTTGGTTCTGTTGCTTGGAATTATTTGGGATCATCCCTGGTTGTTCCCAGGTTGATTCCCAAGGTCCTTGCTAGCTAGAACTATTTAATCCTTCTCTGTTTGTACCTGAATATAGTCAAATTGATTCAAGCGAATTCCTTCCTCGCTGGAATTTCGTTTCTGCGCTATTCGACGGCGGAATGCTACCCGAGTCAACGCTAGTATGCTAGCACTCCAACGCTAGGCAAACGCTGTCGGAGCCATAACTTAGTAATGGCAGAACTTTTCGCGAGGCAACTTGGCTCATTTTAAAGCTCTTGGAGCGAGCTTCGATATAGCGAATTCTCAGCTTAATCCGATCGACGGTCTGCACAGCACGCTGCGCGACGTTCAAGGTACTCTTGCTGTTTTGACTAAGTCCTTCTTGATCCCTCTCTCTACAAACTCGGACCCGAGGGTAGGGGCTGGTCTTGTACCAGGCACCCAGGGACCCTTGGAGGTGACCCCGAGGAGAGGTTTTAAGTTTGATTAAGTCCTAATAGCTTGAGTTTATTAGGCCCTCACACCAACAAGCTGGTATCAGAGCAGCGTTATAGTGATCCTCGTTATAGGTAGCTATGGCGGGCAACACCTCGGCGGTAGCTGGTGAATCTTCAGCCCAAGATCGTAGCGGCAGCCAAGATTCTGGTCTTTCAGCGCCAAGGGGAGCGCGAACCAACCAGAGCTCGCTGATCAAGGAGGTGCTGAAGAATTTCACCGTCGAGAAGTTCAATGGTGAGGGCTATGATGACTGGGCCTGGAAAATGCAATTATATTTCCGTCAGATCGGTTTGCTGAAACTAATGATTGGGGAGGAGCCTAGACCGAGTGACCCCGCCCTTCAGGAAGATTGGGACGAGCGCTCCTCGGCTGGCTACTATCTGATGTCGCAGAGTTTGGAGCTGAACCAGCGTCACCACGTCATGCATCTGCTGCCGGAGGTTGAATGCGGTCCGAAGGCGTGGACCGTGTTGAAGGAGCTGCACGCCCCGACCTCCGTTGTCGCAACGTTGATGCTGGAGAGGGAGCTGTCCGCGTTGCGCCTGAGCGAGGGAGAGCCGGTGCAACCAGTCCTGGACAAGATGCGCGACCTCTACGCGAAGTTGGCGACCGCGGGAATCACCTACCCGGAGCAGACCAAGTGCTTGAAGATGCTCTCGCTGCTGCCAGAATCGTGGCTTCAATTTACGAGCGGATTGAGCCTGCCGCAGAACCAGAGCTTGTGGACGCTCGAGTGGGTGCGGACGAAGATTCTGGAGGAGGACTTCCGTCGCCGCCAACTGAGGGGTGGAGACGACGGCAGCAGCGGCTACGGGATGCAAGGGAGCCGACGTGGCAGAGGACGTGGCTTCGGTGGTGCTGGACGCGGTGCAAAGAAAGACGACGACTCCAACGACCAACAAGGAGGTACCGGTTGGGGTCGCGGTGCGAAATCTGGACGTGGGGGCAAGTCGGGTGCTGGTGGCAAAATGAAAGGGAGTTGCTGGTATTGTGAGAAGGAAGGGCACCCCTGGTTTTTGTGCTATAAGAAACCCGATGGATGGACCCCCCAGAATCGTCACCAGGATGGCGGCGCGCGGAGGAACCAGAAAAACGGCGCCAACATGGTCGCTGATTCGTCCGACAACAACCCGAAGGGCAACGGCGGTGCGGAGAAGAAGAAGGAGCGCACCGCGGGCCAATTCTTCCATGTGGGAGACAAGGGGGAGCAAGGAGACGCCTCTGCCAAAGTTGGAGCAGAGCTGCACCCCCTAGACTATTGGGTGTTGGACACAGGCGCTGCTTGGACGATGACGCCGTGCAAGGACCTGCTGGACGAAGTACGAGCTGCACCGATCAATGAAGTGTGCTCCGCCTCTGGACACATGTTGAAGGTGGCTGGTGCGGGACGAGCTGCGTTTAAGGGAGCGGATGGCAAGCCGGTGGTGCTGCACGACGTTCTCTTCGTCCCCGACCTGAAGGCCAACCTTATCTCCCTCCGTAAGCTTGGCAAGGCTGGGGTGAACACCAACACGGATGGGGCACGCACTTATAAGGGGAAGCTGGGCAATCGGGTGCTTTGGGATCTGCACGAGAGCAAGGACGTGTACAGATCTATGTGGCAGCTGCCGGCCCTGGCGTGGCATGGTGGGGGGCAGGCTGGAGAGGGGTCTGCATCCCAGGGGGAGTGCAATGCCGTTGGAGGGGTTGGTGTGAAAGTGTCGGCCAGATCTGGGGAGACAGATTGGGCAACGGCACACCGGCGCTTAGGGCATGTGGCAATGCCTTTGCTGAAGCAGCTGGAGAAGGATGGAGCCGTTAAGGGTCTGAAGCTGAACGGACAGCCACCCGATGACAACTGTGAAATCTGTTTGCTTTCAAAGTTCACCCGTTTCCCTTTCCATAGTGTGGCTGGCAGGAGCAAGAAGCCTTTGGAGCTGGTCCACATGGACTTGGTGGGGCCGCTGCCGGTGCAAGGGCACAAGGGGGAGCGGTATTTTCTTACAATTGTGGATGACTGGAGCAGGCTGATGTGGGCGTATCCGCTGAAGCAGAAGGACCACGCCGCCTCCACGATACGGGACGATTGGCTGCCATTCGTGGAGAAGCAGGCGGAGTGTGTAGTGAAGCGGATTAGGACAGACCGGGGTGGTGAGTTCCTTGGAGCTGAAATGACGGCCTGGCTCAAGAAGCAGGGCATCCAGAGAGAGCTGACCACGGCTTATACCCCACAGTCCAATGGTGTAGCAGAACGGGCAAACCGGACCATTCTGGAGACAGCTAGGGCGCTGCTCATAGAATCTGGGCTGAGCAATTCTATGTGGCCTCATGCTGTCCGGCACGCCACTGTCGCTAGGAACAGGGTGCTCACCAAGGTTGGGGATGACTCGTGGGTGCCGTTGGAGAGGTGGCTTGGGAGGAAGCCGCCGGTGGACATGCTGAGGGTGTTCGGTTGCATGGCAGTCGCCCACGTCCCCAAGACCTACCGCAGTAAGTTGGGGGCGAGTGCAATCTGGTGTGTGCATTTGGGGCTGGCTGCTGAGAGCAAGGGATGGCTGCTGTGGGAACCATCCAAGGGTGTGTTGTTTGACAGCAGGGATGTGAAATTCATTGAGGGCATGATGTATGGGAGCTGGGAGAAACAGCCGGAGGCAAGGGTGTCCCAGCAGATGGAGCAGATCACCATGCAGCTGGACCTGACTCCTAGTGTGTGGGAGGAGGGAGAGGAGGCAGCTGCTGGAAATGGTGATGGAGAGAAGGTACAGGAGGCATCTGCTGGTGGAGAAAATGGTGTGGAAACTGGCGGCAGCACTAGTGGAGCTGCTGGACCCGAGGGAGGAGAGAAGCAGCAGGGAAAAACTAAGAAGCCGAAGGGTGTCGTTATGAAGGGATGGGAGACACCCGTCTCCAGGCCAGGACGTACCCGTATGGCTACTAAGAAGCTGACTGCAGGAACTGATGCAGCAGAGCAGCAGCTAGGGACCGAAGAGGCATTGCTGATTCTACCTCATGGCTATGACCCGGATGAGGAGGATGAGCCTGCGTACTGTTTTCTTGCCCCTGCACCAGAGGAACCAGCTAGCATGGAGGAGGCATTAGCTGGACCAGATAGGGACAAGTGGCTGGCTTCTAGGGATGCTGAGTACCAGAGTCTGCTGGAGAATAGGACATGGGATCTGGTGGTGCTGCCTGATGGGAAGAAAGCGATACAATGCAAGTGGGTGCTGAGGATCAAGACCGATGACAAGGGGCAGGTCACCATCTACAAGAGTAGGCTG